AAGTGGTTGTGGGGTACGAAGCATACTGGTTCTGGATGTTGCTGGTTGCTTCTCTGGATTGATTTTATTGTCTCGTTCGGGCTTCACCGAAGCTTTGTCCACAAAAGCCTTTCCCTCGGCAAGGCCGTAAGCAGATTCAGAGATCTGATGCTGCATCTTCTTAAGCTCCATGGCTGTAAGGCAGAGGCTGTCACTGGGCTGAATACATTTAAGACTCTTGGGTTGGGTAGCAATTCTGGTTTAACATGCCTGCGCCGCCTCAGCCATCCTCATGCTATTTGGTGTTTGGTGCTGCGTCTCAGTGACAAAGTTGCCCCTAAGTCTTCTCGAAAAAAAGCTACTTCCTCAATCATTCCTGATTGGTCTATCCTTCCGTCGCAGTGAAGTCCAGCATGCTTTGACGCTCCGGATGCTCGTGCGGCTACGTGAGCATAGTGGGTAAAAAAGCTAATTATCTAGTTTCGGGGCCTTACTACAACTGGTATATCGTTTGGGGTATACTATACCTTGAATAGGGGTATATTTAATATCTAGAATACGGTTAGGGGCATGTTCTAATATTGGTACAGCTGTGAGCCCTCTTAATGCTCTGGACGATAAGGACATAAGACCCTACACCCCTAAACCCGAAACCCAGGCTTAAAATTCAAAAGGCTTAGAGTTCCCTGGTTCTCGGATCCGGTGATGTGGGGACTGCTCAGGGATGGGCTAGGGCCTAGGGGGCGTCGCCATGAGCCCAGCGCTTCAATTCTCATTCATGCGGTTGGCATCTCCTACGACACAGAAATGCAGCCTGACCACTCCTGGCTGCTGATCACTTCAACGCCCTTACATAATCAGCACCTGCGAAATGCCTGCCATCCAAGACGGGCTATGGTAGCCCCCCCTGCAGTCGCACACAGATGCAACCATGCACCTCTGAGAGTGCAGCTACGGCTACTGACACGCGTATGCACTTACGTGTGTAGGTATTTGCACATGCATCTCCCTTCCTGATTCCGAGCATTCAAAAGCACTCAACATGCGTTTTATAAAAAAGAAAAAACAACATCAGCAATCCTCGCACACCCGAAGCCCCGCTTTCACATGTTCGCCCCGTGAGTGGCCTCGGGGTCCAAGCGCCAGTCCCCGTAGCCACGTTGCCGCAATGCCTGCTTGGAAGGTGTGAAGACTCTGGGGCGATTCAGCTTTCAGAATGCTGTCACCAAGTTTACATGAACAGTGTCATCTTCCCTGTAATAGTAACAACCCCCTCCGGCAATTTTTTTTCGATATTGGGAATCCAGAAAGAGAATGATCTTCGACACAGTGTGGCAAATTCATGGGAGATGCCGGATGTGAATCCTGCAAAATTAAAATTGTATTCTAAAGTCATGCCTCCTCCACTAACATTGGATATTCGGGAGCTTGAACAGCAGGTTTAAGGGATGACTTTGCGTAGTATCTGTCTTTCCGTGCCTCGTGTCGACTACTAACTTTGGATATTCGGGAGCCTTGAACAGCAGGTTAAAGGGATGACTTTGCTTAGTATCTGTCTTTCCGTGCCTCGTGTCGACTATTTAGCAAATAGTCCACGGGCACCGGATAGCATGGGCTCATAGTGTCATAGACTTAGCAGAAGCTGAACGTCACACCGGGCTTGGTAACTTTGCTGATTGAGGCATTCATGGATCGCTGTGTGTGGCTATGGTTCGAATTCCATGTCAACGGAAGCTACATCTGCGTAAGCGGTTACACCCAAACAGGAACAACGTCCTTGGGAGGGCAAGATATTTAGGGCTGCGAACCCCCAAGCCGTAAACCTCAGAAGCCTGAGAATCATTGAACAAGTCTTCTCCATGAACTCTATAGACTCTAGGCCCCATTACTATGGTAACACTTACGTCTTATGGAAGACCTGAAAGTACACGTTGTGGGACTCGTTTTTGTAACCCTGAGGAACAGCCGTCGTGTTCAAGGCCTGTAAGAGCTCCTCAACGAAGCTCTGAGGAAGGCTAACCAAACGCATGTCTGCCTTGGGGTGTAGCGTTTAGGCTTCAGGGTTTGAGGTTATGTGCTGGGTCCCCGTTGCCGCTTACTGTGCTTTGATTTTTCCTACGGTGCACCCTAAGGCATATGGAGTAGTTTGCACGGCTTAGCCTTGGCTGGGATTCGGATCATTTCCGCACCGTGCCCACACTAAAAGACTGTCAAATCATCCACCGGTCGCTCCAGCTCTACCGAAGTACCCACCAACCAAAGCCAAACAGCCAACCAACAAACCCCAACCAACCACACCCACCAACCCACCAACCGGCCAAACGACCAACCGACCCACCGACCGACTGACTAACCGACAAACCGACCAACCAACCAGCTAACCGACCAAGACACCAACCAAGACAACCCAAACACACGCCCGCACACACGCCGGCACACACTCACTACACACACAGGTATGCACACAAACATGCACATGCCATACACCTGTACACACACACACACGTGAACATGTCCGCTGGGCAAATGCTTGACAATATAGACATATATAGTCATGAAGTCATGGACACAAACATTGACACTGGCGTTTGTGCGTGTGTGTGTGTATATGCATTTATTTACTTATTTATCTGTTTATTTGTTCATTTATATGCACATACACTTATATACTTATATATATATATATACAAACACATACATACATATGTGTATTTACTTGTATGTATCAAAATGTTCGGGTGGGAATTCGGAATGCAGAGCAATTGGATCCTGCGCTGTTTGGAGTGTATAGCACCTTCTAGCCGACTGGCCCTACACTATTGGTGTGCACGGTTGAACATGGGGATTCCATTGCCCTGGCATTGCGCACACGTCCAGAAACTCGCACCCCGGCACAGAGCTTCGAACCGCTGAGTCTGTGCCCTCGAACCAGGAGTTCGAAGTTGCAGAAATCAAAAAACAGTGCAGCGCTTCTGGGTGAAAATGTACTTCAGACTCTGGAGATCGGAATACCCACCACCAACCCAATGCCAAAAGGGGTGCCTGTTAATGACCAGAACGGGATTTTCGGGCTATGTTCATGCTATAAACCTGTAGTTTCCTGCGAGAATACCAGTAAGTACCTAGAAATTATGCAGACCCCCGTATTCTGGTCAAACTCGGCCCAGTTGCTGGCAGGCGAGAGACTGTGGTGAGCACCACGATGTAGTCCTACTGCCAATTGCCATGAGACTTGTTGGCCCTCTTGGCTGAGTCGCGACGTTTCATGTCATGGTACCACAGCACAAATACTCAAAACCATTCTTGCTGTAAAGCTTGGCCTAACACCCTGTCCACGAGACTAAAGGCCATCAGAACTTTTGATTTCGACCCACGCAGATGGGGAGGCCAGCTAGTACTTCTGCTTCTTCTAGCACCACCACGTCCGCTGCCGCTGCCGCCGCCGCCCCCACCGCCGCCGCCACCGCCACCGCC